GGGTCCTCGCATCACGTGGTCACAAGATTCAATCAACTCCAATAAAATACGGTAGGGTGGGTCCTCTCAGTCGTGGTCACAAGATTCAATCAAGTCCAATAAAATAAGGGAGGGTGGGTTCTCGTTTATAGCTTGGGCCTTTCTAGGCCCCAAGATAAGCTTCTCTATGTTTATCCCGGCTCTGTATGTAGATGAAAAGCCAATCATGAGGATTATATCGTGTTTAACTCCGCCCTCTGGCTGCAGTGCATGCCGGGCAAGGAGATGACTTACTTAAGCTCCCCACGCAGCTCGGCTGTGTTTGCAGTCTGTGTGAGTAGGCAGCCATGGAAGCGGTCTCACCGCCTATCTGCATTTAAAAACTTCTAAAGGGTGAAAACCACCGTAGTCTGTAGCCTAGAAGGCTGCAAAGATAGTACTGTTTCCTCTGCGGAGAGTGTTCACGCTTCTGAATGCGTGTGGAAACCTGGAGCTCAGGAACCTCCGTTGGGAGTCTATCCTGAACTTAGATCGTGTACATTTTGGGAACTTATTTTAGAAAAGATGGTCTTTGCCAACAACTTTGGAAACGCTGCAGTAAGAATGTCTTTCCCTCCTCATTTGAATTGTCCTCCTATGGGAATCCCAACACTTCCACCATGGATTCCACCCCCACAGGTTCCTGGTTTTCCTCCGCCTGTACCGCCAGGAACTCCAATGGTTCCTGTACCAATGAGCATTATGGCTCCTCCTCCAGCTGTCTTAGTGCCCACAGTATCCGTGGTTGGAAAGCATTTAGGAGCCAGAAAAGACCATCCAGGCTTAAAGAGTAAAGAAAATGATGAAAATTGTGGCTCCACTACTACAGTTTTTGTTGGAAACATTTCTGAGAAAGCTTCAGACATGCTTATAAGACAACTCCTAGCTAAATGTGGTCTGGTTTTAAGCTGGAAGAGGGTACAGGGTACTTCTGGAGAATGTCAAGCCTTTGGATTCTGTGAATATAAGGACCCTGAATCTACCCTCTGTGCACTCAGGTTATTACATGACCTGCAGATTGGAGAGAAGAAGCTGCTCGTTAAAGTTGATGCAAAGACAAAGACACAACTTGATGAATGGAAAGCAAAGAAGAAAGCCTCAAATGGGGACACCAGACCAGAGACGGTCACTACTGATAATGAAGAAACCTTAGATGAAGAAACAAAAAGAAGAGATCAAATGATTAAAGGGGCCATTGAAGTATTAATACGCGAATACTCCAGTGAGCTCAATGCCCCTTCACAGGAGTCTGATGCTCATCCTAGGAAGAAAATGAAAGAAAAGAAAGAAGACATTTTTCGCAGACTTCCAGTGGCCCCATTGATTCCTGATCCACTCATCACTAAGGAGGATATAAATGCTATAGAAATGGAGGAGGACAAAAGAGATCTGATGTCCCGAGAGATCAGCAAATTCAGAGACACACACAAGAAACTGGAAGAAGAGAAAGGCAAAAAGGAGAAAGAAAGACAGGAAATTGAGAAAGAACGGAGAGAAAGAGAGAGGGAGCATGAAAGGGAACGAGAAAGACGAGAACGGGAACGCTTGCGGAATAGGGATCGTGACCGGGACCGCATGTGGAATAGGGATCGTGACCGGGACCGCATGTGGAATAGGGATCGTGACCGGGACCGCATGTGGAATAGGGATCGTGACCGGGACCGCCAGCGTGACCGAGAATGGAGCTCTGATCGGAATAAGGATTGGAGTCGATCAAGAGAGAAGAGCCGCAGAGACCGTGAACAGGAGCACGAGCGAGAGGACAAGAAACGTAAACGAGAGGAGGATGAAGAAGATGCATATGAAAGGAGAAAGCTGGAAAGAAAACTCCGAGAGAAGGAAGCTGCTTATCAAGAGCAGCTTAAGAACTGGGAAATCCGTGAACGAAAGAAAACCCGGGAATATGAAAAAGAAGCTGAGCGAAAAGAAGAAAGAAGGAGAGAGATGGCAAAAGAAGCTAAGCTATTGAAAGAATTCTTAGAAGATTATGATGATGATAGAGATGATCCCAAGTATTACAGGGGAAGTGCTCTTCAGAAAAGATTGCGTGATAGGGAAAAGGAAATGGAAGCAGATGAACGTGATAGGAAGAGAGAGAAGGAAGAACTGGAGGAAATTAGGCAACGTCTTCTGGCAGAAGGACACCCAGAACCAGATGCAGAGCTCCAAAGGATGGAGCAAGAGGCTGAGAGACGTAGAAAACCACAAATAAAGCAAGAACCAGAATCAGAAGAAGAGGAGGAAGAAAAGCAAGAAAAAGAAGAAAAACGAGAAGAGCCTGTAGAAGAGGAAGTGAAACCAGAGCAGAAGGCTTGTCTGAAACCCACTTTGAGACCCATCAGCTCTGCTCCATCCATTTCCTCTGCCAGAGGCAACACAACCCCCAACACACCTGCGGATGATTCTCCCTGTGGTATTATCATTCCTCATGAAAACTCACCTGATCAACAACAGCCTGAAGAACATTGGCCAAAAATAGGATTTAGTCTTATACCGGGTGCTTCCAATAGTCCTGGCCAACCTAATTCTGTGAAGAGAAAGAAGATACCTGCAGATAATGTCTTTAACAAATATGAGGATAAAGACAGTGACAATGTACCCCGAAAAAGGAAACGGGTTCCTTCGGACTATGGTAAAGATAAAAATGCTACCCAAAGCACAGTGAACACGGAAGAAAAGCGCAAGCACATTAAAAGCCTCATTGAGAAAATTCCCACAGCCAAACCCGAGCTCTTTGCCTATCCCCTTGATTGGTCCTTTGTGGATTCAATATTGGTGGAACACCAAATTAGACCATGGATTAATAAGAAAATGATAGAATACATAGGTGAAGAAGAAACTACATTTGTTGATTTTGTTTGTTCTAAGGTTATGGCTCATAGTTCACCTCAGAGCATTTTAGATGATGTAGCCATGGTACTTGATGAAGAAGCAGAAGTTTTTATAGTCAAATTGTGGAGATTATTGATATATGAAACAGAAGCTAAGAAAATTGGTCTTGTGAAGTAAAACTGTTTTTAGTGTTATCTTTCATATTTTTTTCTTTCCCACCATTAAGAGGACTTCAAATTTTCTTTGTCCTCAAAGACATTTGTGAGATCTGTAATTTTTTTTTAATGTAGAAAATGTGAATTTTATTTTGTCCTCCAATTTGTTGATGCCCCTGTGTACTCCCTTGGTTGTAAATTCATCTGAGTCTTACCTTGGTTTTCTTTATACTCACCAGGTACAATTACTGTTATGTTTTATAAGCTGCAACTTCTGTACACACCTATCTGATATAATCTTGTTCTGCTGATTTGTTCTTGTAAATATTAAAATGATTCCCTAAAAAAACAAAACAAAAACCGGAATATTCTATAATGTTTTGAAAAACACTGATCAGAAAGGCAAGCATTATTATAAAAATGTACCTAAATTGATATCAGGGCCTTCAATGATTTACCCTGTTTCTATGGTTTCCTTAAAAGGAGGGAGAGTTTCAAATTGGCAGATTTGTATAAATGGTGCATAATAAAATATATTTTTTATTACATAAGACAGTAAACAGATGCCTTTGATGTGAATGTCTGTAAATGTCCTTTAGACACTTGTGTGTAAATGAAAAAAACAAATATAGTCGTGCCAGGTCCAGCAGAAATTGCCATGGACACAGAAATTCCCAAACATTTAACCTAACTACCAAAAGAGTCGTAACATTCCCACAGAATTATCTAATATAAAACTTTTCTTATTATTAAAGCTTTCTTCTGCAGGACTCCATCTCTAGCAATTTGAGCTTAATGTACTTATTAATGCATGGCTGCTATTGCATGTTCATTACTCATAAATAAAAAAAAATAAAAAAAGAACTTGAATATCTTAAAACCATGACAAATTTTGAAAAGCAGAGAGTGGCAAGTCATCTAATTAGCTGGGAGAGAAGGGCAAGACACATGCCCACCATTTGGATATGCAAAGCTTCGTCAGGCTCATTCATCCAGAATACCAGAAAAACTTAGTATAAACCAGTTATTGACTAGACAATGAACACCTCCAAAACAAACAGAGCTGCTGTAACAAATTACCACAGTCCAATCCAAGGGGAGCTTTTGTGGTACCGGCCATGGCAAGTAGTGCTATTAACTCAAAGGCTGTGTGTCTCCAGGGTTTTGGATTTGTCAGCGATGATGAAGGAGAAAGATGGGCAGTCTCCTCTTTTGTGATTTTTAGCCTCAGTGATTTTTAGCCACAGTGAGTCACTATTAGTCAGAACCTGAGAAGGATTGTGGGTTTTTTAAGTGAGGTTATTTAAAACAAGAAATTCATTCTGTCGTGATTCTAGGAGGTAGAATTCCAAAACCAATTGAGTCTTTCTTAAAACTCAGAGGAACAATGAGGGAGTTTTTCTTTTGCTTTTGAAGGAGAGGAGCAAAGGGGGAGGGATGGGCAGGGAGAAGGGTGCAACAATGAATAAATGGAATTCCAAAATCTCTGTAGATGTTCATTGAAAGGAAAATAAATAAATAAACAAACAAACAAACAAATAAATAAATTTTAAAAAAACAAACAAAACTCTGAGGAAGGATGTGTTCTTACCTTCTGGAACTTGCTGAAATCCTTGGCATTCCATTTCTTGACTCGTAGATGCTTTGTTCTAACTTTTGCCTCCACCTTCCCCTGACTTTCTTTCCCCCTTGTGTATCTGTCTTTGAATCTTTCTTTCCTTACAAGGACACCAGTCACTGGCTTTAGGGCCCATTCTGTTTCATTGTGACCTCACAGTAACTTGATTACATCTGCAAAGACTTACACCCAAGTAAGGCCACACTGGAGCTAAGAGAATACACCGTCCCTCTTTCCTTTTGAATCAGGGTGAATTCTCTCTCAGGGAGGAGTGATAGGGAATGTCAAAGGACACACTGACAAAGGAGATTAATCAGACCTGGCTTTGACAAGCACTGGGGCAATGGGACAATTAAAACAGACTTTCAAGGGGGGGAAAAAGAGGAATGAACTGGGGGGGAGGGTAGAGAAAATAGTGCAACAATGAATGAATGGAAACCCCAAATCTCTGTAAATGTTCATTAAAATTAATAAAATTTAATAAAAAAGGTAAAAACAAACAAACAATAAAAAGTACAACCTCTCTTTCAGAGGAAATAATTTTCCTCATGTTGTTGTTGTTCAATGCCGTCGAGTCGTAGACGACTCATAGCAACCCTATGAACGAACACCACCAAAGTGAAAATCATGCCATGACTGGTACGTCCCACTGATATCTCTTAATCAGAGTTGGGAAAGGTTGGGTCTTAATGAGAAATATGACTTTGAAAACTACATTTTCTTTTTCTTTGTTTTAAATGTTAATATAATCTAAAAATATTATATTTAAGCATTTTACAGTTTTTATTTTATGGATTTTTTTGTTTTCTTTTTTAAAACAGATTTTAATGAAGTTTATTAAGAACTTAGATTTTGAGATCCAAGATGGCGGCGGAGGTGGAGACAACATGGTGAGCTGTGGGAGCAGCGCACTGCTTGGAACAGGGCCACTATGACCTTCTACAGACTTCAGCTTATTGATAATTGAACAGTTAAACAGTTGATGACTGGTCTTCAGTGAAGATTGAGGCTCAACAATAGGAATTCAAGGATTCCCAAGGAGGAATGGGTGAGTCCCGCAGCTCCCAATCCCCTCCCACAGAGCCCGCACCATGCCACACCGCAGCCCCAGCTCCATGAAGCTCCCACAGCCGGAACCTATGGAATTCCTCGCCCAGGATGGATAGTGGGCACCGGGTCTCCCCAGGACTGATACAGCAGAGTCGCCACACTGCAGGAAAGTGGGCTTGTTCTGGGGAGAATTCTTGGAGCCAAGATGGCCGCGGCAGGGGAAGTGGGCGGCCACTGGCTTCCTGTGTGGGAGATGAAGCGTGCCCACCAGTTGCCCCTGTGGCAGATGAAGCACGGGAGATGGCTCGCGCCCTCTGTCCACCCACGCGCGGCATGGCGCGTGCCTGGTGGCCACCCGCACTAAAAGATGGTGCACACCCACCGACTGCCCGTGCACGAGTTGACGCGCGCCTGCCAGCCACCCCTGTGCTTGATGATGCCCGCCCGCTGGCTACCCTTGCTGGGGTATGACGCACAGGAGATAACGCATGCACGCAGCCTGCGTGGGAAATGATGCCTGGGAGATAGCGCGTGCCCATACCGGAGATGGGATGCGCTCCCCACTGCCCTGCCTGCAGGTATGGGTTTCCTTGGAAAGCCAGAGAAGATGATCACCACCAATACAATGGATTGTTGAAAGTGAGTTGTCTACTTGATGACACTTAACAGTGGCAGCATGTCCAAGAGGACTGACATCCTAAATGCACCACATATTTTGATCTGTTGAATGCTTCTACCAAAAGCTGTTTAGACCGTTTAGGCCTGTTCACAATTCTCAGGTTCCCTTTGCCATTTATAAAGGGGGAGGGCAGTGATACCTACTTCAAATTATAGTATGACCACTTATGGGGGGGGG